CGGGAGCCCCTTCCGCCGAGGGAGACGCGAGGGCGAGGGCAGGGAGCCGCGGGCCGCCCGGGCAGGCTCAGGCCTCGCCCGCCCTTACCGTTCTGGGAGCGGATGGCCTCCCCAGTGCTGCGGTCCCCAAACACGGACAAAGGCCCCTCCATCTTCGCGGCAGGGTTTGCGTCGAATTTCACTCACACCGCGGGCAACCCGTATCTTAATCCCCAGGCCGGGCGGTGGCCACTAGAGAAGTGGCGGCGGCGTGGAGAGACCCGAGCGGCGCCGCGGGGGCTGCTGGGTAACTCCGCCCCGCCCGCTGCCTCACTCCTCAGGCTCGGCCGCAAGGCCTGGCGGGAAAAGAAGGGCGGGAACCGGGAGAAACAGGAAAAGCAGCTTCAACTCAACGGAAATCAGAGGACCAAAAAGGGGCAGGTTCAGTAATTTTGCCCAATTAGAGACCGGAAGAGAAAGGACGCTGAGGGAGAAACGGTTGTCAGGAGTTGGAGGACGCTGGAAGTAGGAAGTACTCTTCTGCGGGCAAGGTTACGCATGCGCGTGTGCACATTCTCGTATCTTCTGGAAAAGTTGGACAGTGGGGCGGAGTTTGAAATTGTGTTACAAGAACGAGGCGGGCTCTTCTTCACGGTAGAGCTGGGCTTCTAGTGGGCTCTTTAACCTTGTGCTCTTGCCTTTCTTAAATACTCGTTCGGGAAGCTTGCGGCAAATTGGGCTTTGTTGTGGGACTAACAGGCATGACCTTGCGAGTCTGCACTTGGTTAGTATGGGGCCAGGTTTTTTTTTTTGGTTGTAGATGGACACAATACCTTTATTTTATTTGTTTATTTTTATGTGGTGCTGAGGATCGAACCCAGGTCCTTACGTGCTAGGCAAGTACTCTACCACTGAGCCACAACCCCAGCCCTGGGGCCAGGTTTTCCAAGGGCCACAGGGGACAGGCTTCAGTTTCCAAAAGAGGCACCCTTTTTGAGGAAAAAGTGTGAACAATGCTCTGCCTCATTTCCTCCCAATACCCAATTACTGTGTCCACGCTACAATGATGGGCTTAAGGGACCAGACAACCCAAATACGGTGACTTCAAGTTTTGTCTTGGGGGCCGAGCTTGGTGTAAAGGGTAGTCTGCAACAAACTGCGTTTCTGTCAGGTGATTGGTTGGCGCCTAGCGTGATTGCGCCTCGACGTAAGCACTGATTGGTGGAGCGGGGTAATATGCGGCAGGGGCCTTGTTGGTTTGACGCTTCAAGGACATGCGCGCTTCGACTTTTCCCTGAGTTAATATGGCGGGTTAGCCGCTGAGACAACCGGAAGGAAAAAGAGGCGAGGCTTTGCCGGTGATCTCCTCAGCGATGGCACTTCGGCCGCGGCTCTGGAAGTTGGTGTTGGTTCGCAGGAATCTGGGTAATTAATCCCGCCCCGCTTGCCAGCCTACTCCCCGGGGCCTGGCCAGTAGATGCGAATCTGCGTGTCCTCTTCTGTTCGACTTGTCCCGAGAAGAAGCAAACGCGCCCTGGGCGCTCCCTCGGGACCCGAGGACCGGGGAGCGGAGGCGGTGGAGTTAGGCCGGCCCCGGTGTCCACGGCGGTCGTGCTTAAGCTCCATGTGGCCGTGTCCGTTCCCCAGAGCGCGGGTTTGCAGCCCTCTGCACCACGCCGGCGGCGGAGCCCCACGCTGAGCCCCTGGGAAATGAAGCCGTCGCGCCCGAGTTCACCAACAGGAACCCCCGGAACCTGGAGCTCTTGGCTGTGGCCAGGAAGGAGCGGGGCTGGGGGACAGTGTGGCCCTCGCGTGAGTTCTGGCACAGGTAACCAAGTCAGCCTGCGACGGCCCGACCGAGTAGCGCCGCGCCTCACAGATTGCTTTGCTCAGCAGGACGGTGCGGGACGGTGCAGGACGTCGGGGATTCGCCCCGGGGCGCCTCGCACGTGCCTAGAGGCAGGACCGGCGGAGGGGTCCCAACCCTTGAACCTACGGGCGCCCTGCAGACGATAGTGTGGGCTTGGGGAGCTGCGTGCTTACCAGGGTCGCGGAGGAGGTGACGAGGTCTGAAAGATAGAAGAAGGAGCGTTCTAGCAGAGGCAGCTGGGTGTGACTGCTCTTTGTGGGTGGGTGGGAGAATCCGTAGGCCTGTGTATCTGAGTTGTTTGGGCAAAGCGGGGAAGTTGAAATTGGAGAAGCACGTAGAAGGAGGTTAAGTCATTAGCTTTGCAAGTTAAGGTAACCAGTGAGATTGGAAACTGCAAGATTTAAAATTTGAGCCTGAACGATCTGGTTTTTAAAGTTCATTCTAAGGTTTGGGGTAGAGTGCTTGCCTAGCAAGTGGGAAGTCCTGCAAAAGGAGAATAAAAATAATTCTAGCTGCTTTAGGGAGAATAAACTTTTTTAAAGAGTGGGAGTAAAAGGAGGAAGACACACATGTCTTGTGCATGGTAGGCAACTGCTCTACAAATGAACTACATCCCCCAGCCCCTTGGTGGGTTATTGAAAATATTTGCCAGGAACTATATAAAAAATGTATTGTTCATTTAATCCTTAAAATTACTTCATGGAGCAGGTACAATAATTTTCTCCATTTTACAGGAACGGGGCAGTTGGGGGAGACATCATTAGTGACTGCCAGAGCTAAGATTCAAACATATTTTATATGACCTAGAACCATGACACTAAATTATTACCACTATGCTGCAGGACATAGATATTATTTCCTTGATGAAGATTTGTTAGCGTTTTTCCTGTTGTGTGTGTAGTGCTGGATATTGAACCCAGGGTCTCACATCAGGCAAGCACATTACCACCGAGCCACATCTCTAGACCCCTGGAGTAGAATTATTTCTAAAGGACTACACACAGTTATCAGGACAAGTTAGTAATCATAATTATGTAAATGCATTTATTTATTCAGCAAATGTTGGGCCTGTATCACTAGGCATTGTGCTAGATGTAGGAAAAATAATGATAGAGCATAAGACTAAAGGGCTCACTAGAACCCCAGTTCTACCATGGAAAAGGGCTTGCCCTTTCTGAAATTCTTGTCACGGAAGTTTTTATAGTTTCCTGATGGAAAGCAGAATGAGCATGATGTCATAATTGCTATGATACATTTTTGCTTAGAGGATATAGGGAGGAGTCAAAGGGAGGAGGCAGTTCACTTTTGAAATAACCTGGATCTTAAGTCTAAAATTCTTTTGAAACATCCAACATTTCCTTCACTTAATATTTGAATCGTTTAAATTAGACTTATTTCCCCCCACTCACTGGGTCTGCCCTATTTACCAAATTATCACTACAGAATTTTGAAAGTCTAGGAAATGACCTTAGAGATGGAGTCCTACCTCTTCATTGAATACATAGTTGAAGACAAGGATCTTAAAACTGTGGCCTATGCAACTTTCCATGAAGTATAATTTTTATTAGCACCACCAGCAAAAACAAGAGAACCCACAGTTCCAAATCTAGTGCCTTTCCTGCTTTGCCTTAGGAGTGCTAGTGAAGATCTTCTAATTTGAGTGTTTTCTTTAATTTGAGCTTAATTTAATTTTGATCTGGAGGTACGAATCAGTATTTGTATACTGATTGTGTATGTGTATACACAAAGCCCTGAGTTTAATCCAGTAGTAAAAAAAAAAAAAAAAAAAGTGGAACAGCCATCCCTAGGTATGCACAGGGGATTAGATTAAATATCTTACATAAAATGGCACAGTATTTACATATAATTTATATTCTCCTGTTACTTAAAACCATTTCTAGATTGCTTATAATACCGAAAACAATGTAACTGCTATGCAAATAATTATTATACTGTATTGTTTAGGAAATAGTGACAAGAAAAGTCTGTGTATGTTCAGTACAGATATAATTTTTTCCCTCAGATATTTTCCACCTGTAGTTGGTTGAATCCAATGATTTGTAACCCCATGTTATAAAACCCCACAGGGACTAGTTTTATATGTATCCTTCTAGAGTTATGCATATAAGCAAACATGTCTTTTTTAAAAAATTATTCTTGTTAAATCATAAACATTGTTCTAGAATGTTCTTTAGCCCTCCCACCACTCCCTAAGCATATACTTAAAAATACGCCTTGTAGATCCTTCTTCCTGATGGATAGGATTGGTTCTGGAGCCAGATCCCTAGACCTAAAGCCTGGCTCCATTGCTCCCTAGTTGTAATGTTATGTTATTTTTCTGTGTCAGTTTCTGTAGTTTAAAAAACACATGGAATGCCAGAAGCAGTGACGCATACCTGTAATCCCAGCTGCTCCAGAGGCTGAGGCAGGAGGATCTTGAGTTCAAAACCAGCCTTAGCAAAAAGTGAGGCATTAAACAACCCAGTAAGACCCTGTCTCTAAATAAAATACAAAATAGGGCTGGGGATGTGGCTCAGTAGCCCAGTACCCCTGAGTTTAATCCTCAGTACCCAAGTGAAAGAAAAGCAAATGGAAGTAAGATGGGATTATTTTGAGACATGAGCTATACCTATAAACAATTAGGATAAACTTAACACAGTAAGTGCTCATCAGTGTTAGCTATTGTAATCATAAAATGTTACCTCTTTTTAGTGACTGTATAAAAAACATGGCATGCATGTTTTAGTTAACTAGCTCCCTATTGATGATTATCTTTTATGATTACAGTGTTGTAATGAATTGTCTCATCCATTCATTTTTTTTAATCGGAGATTGGGTGTATATTTTCCTGGATTTAAATGTCATTAATATTTTCTGTTCCTTTGAACAGTGTTCAGATCTTTTACTTCTTAAGTTATTGGTAAATTTCTTATTTATTACAGGAGATTCTATAAAAACCATGATTGATTTCACATTTAAACAGGCTTATCTTTTTTGACATTATAAAAAAAAAATTTTCCTTATTTTCTTTTAGTACTCTTCTGATTTCGGTTTTTACTTTTAAATCTTTGCCCCATTTTTCATTCATTTTGGTGTTGGCTGGAAAATAAAAGCACAGAGTAAGTATATCCTTATCCAGGATATAGTCAGCAACTTAGTTGCATCTCTTCAAGATTCCATTTTTGAAGTATATGTATAAAAAGTAAGACTCAGCTCTTCAGAAATACCAAGTTTCTCCTTGATACTTGAGGGTAAGTGCAAATATTTGATTTATTGTTATTGAGAATAGTATCATTAAAGACAGGGAAAACACCTGTCTCAAGTAAAAAGCCAAGTAAGTATGTTGAAGTAAATCAACCATCCATTGAATTCTCAAGGGATACTTAGGCATTCATTCACTTGAAGTAACTTAACTTTAGGATGGATAGATGGATAGTTTTTTGACTTTTATCCTCTTCTCTTCCCATTTAGACTGCGAGTTATAAAGACTCAGCATCATGTAGAAGCGATTGTAGAGCATCGAAATGGCAAGGTTGTGGTTTCAGCATCTACTCGTGAATGGGCTATTAAAAAGCATCTTTACAGAACCAGAAATGTGGTTGCTTGTGAGAGCATAGGACGAGTGCTGGCAGAGCGGTGCTTAGAGGCAGGAATCAACTTCATGGTCTACCAGCCAACCCCTTGGGAGGCAGCTTCAGACTCGGTATTTTTTTTTTTTTTTTCAATATTTTTTAGTTGTTGATGGACCTTTTTTTTTATTTATTTGTTTGTTCATTTATATGCACTGCTGAAAATTGAACCCAGTGCCTCACACATGCTTTGCAACTTCTCTTATCACTGAGCTAGAACCTTAGCCCCCAGACTTGGTATTTTTGTTTCCATTTGTGTTTACTAAAAAAGTATTTTAGGGCTTGGGATGTAGCTCAGAGGTAGAGGGCTTCCCTAGCATGTGTGAGGCCCTGAGTTTGATTGCTGGCACTGAAAAAAAATTCTAAGAGGCATTGTATTGATTCTTGATGTTAGGTACTTATATAATAATAGTTTCCAAGTGTTCTCCATTTTGGACCCTGGGGTGAGTATTCTGACATTACCTTATTTAATCCTTACAGCAGTCTAGAGTTAGGGACCAATTATTCCTGTTCTATACACAAATGAACTGAGGTCAGAGTCATTGTTTGGTTGATTTCAGAGTGACTGATTCTCTAGCCCATCATGTCATCATGTTTATGTATTGACATCTTGTGATGTATTTCAGAATGCTGCTGATCCCTGACATTTCTCAATTCCTTTTTTTCTTACCTGTGTCATTCTTAAGATCCTTCTCTGAACAACCAGTGTAGGCTGGGAAGTTAGCAAGAGCACATCAGTTGTTATTTCTTTGTCTCTTGGAAAGCAAAGTTTATTTTCAGCTTACTGATGAGCTTTATTTTTTCCTTTTTTTTCCCCCTGATTTTTAAAACAAGATGAAACGCTTACAAAGTGCCATGACAGAAGGTGGTGTAGTGCTACAGGAACCTCGGAGGATCTATGAGTGAAATAGAAGCATAGAAGTTTTGAACACATAAATGTAAAACTATCAGCTTCTACAGCTGTCTAAGAAAGCATCTGGAAGAAAAACGAGCTTGGAAGTTTTGTAACAACGGAGTTCAGTGGAAGATTATTTGTAGTTATGGTCATCCCCCTCCCCTTTTGTGTGTGGTGGGTTTTTTTGTTTTAATCAAATGCTAAATACTGTCTCCTCTTGGAGGTGAGAAGTACAAAGCAGACACCGGTTAACTTTTGAAGGACAAATTAAAAATTGCTTGTAAGTTACCAAATAAAGGCATATAAGAACTATTGTTTTCTGGTTATATGAAGTTTCTTGCCTGTGAGCTCACTATTTTAAGGGTAACATCTGATGTTTGTGTAAAGCACTTATTACTACATCGGCTCATGATGAGTGATCCCAGTGAGTTACTTGCTGCTCAGATTGTGGGGCTGATTTTTTTTAAAGTGGGAGATGTCACTATCAGTCTAAATTTAGAATCTTAGGATAAGAGGGCCCTTGATTCCCAGTGTTTGGAGAGGCAAATTTGAGAGTTAAAGGTGCCCTGAGGAACTTCAAATGGAAGTGGAAAGGAAGGGTAGTGTGTGCTCAGATTGCTGTGAAGTGAATAATACAGGAAGCAAAGTGTTAACTGTTTCCAGCTACCTGGGGAAAATTAATTGCTTAAGTAGTTAAGGTGGCTTTGAAAGCATAATTTTCCCAATTTTTAGGTGTGTTCACCAATTACACATTTATTTAAAAATGAAATGCCATCAATCTGAATATGCAATGTAATTTTTGAAAGACGAGTCTCTTAACTCTCTTAACAGTGTGACTTACGTTGAGACTTTCAGCATCCAATGGTTTACTAGTCCCTTTTGATAAATAAATATCCCTGTGAGGACGTTCAATCTTAGATTATTATTATTGCTTCAAAGATTTGAAGATAACTGTTCTAGGAAGGTGTTTACATAGAAATCTAGAATTCAAGGGAAGACGTGTAAGAAAGATTGTGTACTAGTGAGTGAAAATTAGCTAACAAAAACAGGGCCTCCCCTGGGTGTAGGCGTGGAGGTGGGAATTGCCGCAGGGAGTAGGCGAGTGCTAGACAATCTGGGCGCCAAGGACACCTTCAGTCTAACTGGCAGCTCTTCTTTGCAAACGACCTTCACCTTGGGAGCAAGTTAGGCTCTAGGCCGGTGGGCAGGGGCAGGTGCAGGCTATGCGGCTGCCGCGCGGGGTGGGCGGGTTTCCACGTGCACGAGCCCTTTAAGGCCCCGCGCAGCGGAAGCGCGTGGGTACTACGTGGCCTCACTGGCGCCCACGGCCCAGCGGCCATGGACTTGGGCGCAGAGGAGTTTGAGCAGAACCTCCCCTTCCTGCAGGAGCTCGTCCAGGACGCGGACTTTGTGGGTAAGGTATCGGGGACTGCGGGCCCGGTCACCAGAGTGGACCAGCTGGAGGACGGGGTAGCACAGGTGGGATACGGTTGTGGCCAGGCCGCAGGGGGCTCAAAGCGGCCCCTGCCCCTCGGAGGGACAGGCGGACTTCTTACGCCCGCAGGCAGGGGGGTGATAGGCATCGCTCACAGGAGTGTTGAGTAGCCCTGATGTCTTGGGCCAGACTCCCTGAGGTCCAGGTACACCCCCATGGTTTGGCTGGTCCTTGCCTCGGTTCCCTCCATTTTCCCCTTTTGCCCCCACCTGGCCTCTCGAACACAAAATGAGCAACGTGCTTAGGCCACCTGTGGCTTCCGCACTGTGGAGTGGTGACTGCCCTGTGCTTGGGGACTCCTCTATCTTTTGCCTCCCCCTTAGGTCTGGACATAGAGTTCACTGGCCTTCGTTCTAGCCTTTCGGGACCGCAGCAGATCAGGTAAAGCTAAAGCTGTCTTAAAGCCCAAAGAGCTGGCTGGCCTGTGTCCCCCAGCCAGACCAACATGATTCTCAGCAGCGCAGGGTTGGCTTCCCTGGGTGGGGCAGCTCAGTTTGTGTGGGCTGCTCCCACCTGTGGGACCTAGTATTAGTCCCCTAATGCTGGTAGTATTCCCTAGTTTCTGTAATAAGGAAAAGATGTGACCCCTGGTTGAGTGGCCAAGTGAGCCTGCTCTGGAGCCCTAGTGTCTTGACCAGATCTTGTTGATGCCTGTTTTTTCAGTCTTTTTGATTTGCCATCCGAGTGGTACCTAAAGACCCGCCAGAGTGTTCAGCAGTTTACCATCTGTCAGATTGGTGAGTCTGAGGGTCATCTCTTCCTTATGCATCTGTTAAGAAGATATTGTCTTTGTTTCCTATTGGTGAAAATGGCTTTGTCACTTTTTCAAACACATTGGCTATCATTTTTGTATTCTTCTGTTTTTGGCTTTAGATCCAACACTTTGGAGTAAGCAGAAAATTTAACCAACATTAAGTAACAATTACTGTTGTTCCTTGTTCCGTCTTTCAACTAAAAATGGGTGTATGATTTTGGACATATGATTATATCACAAATATTTTGTTTTTCCCTTTGTTTTTACTTCATGGAGTTTGGGGTTTGGAGATCTATATATCAGCACATACAAACATGTTCATTTAACAGCACATAGTATTACAAACTATCAATGTATCTGTTAATCTGCTAGTAAGCATGTTTCAATTACATTTTTGTACAATTAAACAGACTTGCACTGACTGCCTTGGTGTTTATATATATGATCCTGTACTTTTGTGAGTATATGCATCTGAGATACTTTTAGCAGCGGAATTGCAAAGTTACAGTATGTGTTGGAATATTGAAGTAATGATATGTAGTTTAGCATTTTGTTGTAAACGCAGGGCTCTACCACTGAGCTACACCCCCAGCCCTCACTAAGTTTTTGTTGTTTACACCAATAGAGAATGTGTCTGTTTCTCCAACACTGGATATTATCGGTCTGCAACTTTTGTCCACCTGGTAAAGGAAAAATGATTGTTAGTCTGTTTACATCTTATGATAGAAATGTTGACAACCTTTTCTATAAAGGGCTCCATAGAGAATATTTTAGATCTTGCAGACAATGTGATTTCTGTTATAGCTACTCAGTCTTACCCTTATAATGTGAAATCGGCTGCACATAACATATAAACCCATGAGCATGGCCCTATTCCTGTAAAAAGCTTTTTCATAAAAGCAGACTTTGGGCCAGAGTCTACTGACTAGCTTTCACTATGGATGACACTGGACATCTGTTTTCCTCCCTACCCTTGTCCTTTGCTGTTTCTCTTAACTGTGTGATTTCTGAAAAGTGTGGACAACAGCTCTTGGTGCTCTTGGTTATGTTCTGTTGTTCACCCCCCAACACACACACCATTTTGAATTTTTCTTTTATCTTTTGGTAATAGTCATTTAAAAGCTGTTAAATTTGTAAGACTTACTTTATGGGTTTTGGTGTTTCCTCTGGTTAGTTTTAAAACTATGAAAATTGATTTTTTTTTTTAAATACTTGTTTGAAGAACAGGCCATAGTTGTCTTTTTTGTGGGGGGATAGGAGGATATTGGGGACTTAATCCAGGGGCATTTAACCACTCAGCTACCTCCTCAACCCTTTTTATTTTTTATTGTGAGATATGAGACAGGGCCTCACTAAGTTGCTGAGTCTGGTTTTGAACTTGGGATCTTCCTGCCTCAGCCTCCTGAGCTGCTGGGATTACAGGCATGTCATTGCACCCAGCTTCAACTCTTGTCTCATTCTATAAGGATCTTATCCTGTCCTGCCACCCACATAGTATCTGTGGATGCAAAGTCCTGTTGGAAATGTTTGGGCTCTGTGTTCACCTCAGGGAGCTTATTCTCAGTATTCATTACTTCCGCTATTGTTCTTCTAGGATTGTCTGTATTTTCCACTATCGAAGGGGAGTTCAACAAGTACGTATAAAGAGCTTTTGCAAAGCAGGGCTTTTGCCCATCTGTGTTCTACAGCTATCTCCCCTTCATATTCTGCCTTGGTGTCTGAGTCATTTTGTCCTGGACACTCTGTTCTCTCCTACTTCTGGCTCTTCCACTGGCTCTGTCCTGCAGATTTCAGCTTACCTTCAGGTCTCTCCTGAAAGGTACCATTTCTGCAAGGCCTTTTCCACCACCCCTGCCTGGTACCTTATATGCTCCTGTCCTCTTTTCCATTGTCTCTTGTGCACCTTCACAAGAGCAGTTAATACTGTGTATTGTGATGAGGGTGCTGTCTGAACTGCCTGCTAGCTCACAGGTACCAGCTGGTTCCAGGAGTGTGGAAGGGTGCTCCCTTGATGGGGTGGCTCCTGCCCAGAGCAGCTGTGGGACTGCCTCTACGCAGCAGCCCTGGTGGTTTCATTGAGAGCCTGTTTCTGTAGCAGACCATTTTATGAGGGCAGGACCACTGCCTTTGTTCTTTGGCTCTCAGTGCCAGGCAAAGTATCTGAAGCACAGTTTTTCCTAAATGGATGAAAGAAAGAATCTACTCTGAAGCTGCTTAATGAGTCAGGGTGTGTGTGTGTGTGTGTGTGTGTGTGTGTGTGTGTTTTAAGTGCCTTTGGCTTTTTCTTATGTTTTTATAGGTATGTAGCCCATTCATATAACTTCTTTCTCTTCCCTACAACATTTGGGATTTTGGATTCAGAATTCTCTTTCCAGGCTTCTAGTGTTCAGTTTTTGAATCAATACGGCTTCAACTATAACAAGGTATGGCATTGGAGGAGGGGAGGGGGCAGGTTGAAAGTCCAGTCTAATGGGCCCACAGGACCCTTTTCCTCTTCCCGTTTTTCCCGTGAGATACTAAGTAGGCCTGGCCCTCCTTATCTCCTGAGATGGGGTGCATTTGGGGTGGTGTGGTTATACATTCCTCTTCCTCCCCTTCCCCTTCCTTTGTGGCTTAGAGGATGACTCTCACTAGTTTCTGTTTTCTGTGTTTAGTTTCTTAAAAATGGAATCCCATATATGAATGAAGAACAGGAGAAAAAAATTAAGCACAACATCCTGACAGGGAACTGGAGAGTTCGCAGGTAGGGTGTGTTTCTTTAAGTGCCTCTTGGTTTCTTTGCTGCTGTGTCCTGTGGGGTCTGTGCTGGTTCCAGGAGTGTGGTGACCTTGAACCATCCATATGTCCTGGTAACTGCATCAGCCTCCTTTGCTCAGCCAGTGGGTGTGGCTGCTGGTGCTGGGGATCCTCCACCTGAGGTGAGGAAAGGCAATCCTGTTTCCAACCCCCTTTCAGCTCCTGTATAAACCCCTCACTGCTTCAAGCGTGATTTTTAGCATTTAAAAATGAAAAAAACAGAAGCTGACTCAGTTTGCTAACTCACCAAGATTTCCATTCCAGTGCCAGAGGGGCAACTCCACTCTGTTGGACTTGCTGTGAGATGGTCTGTTAATGTCCAGTGTGCTCTGAGGGCTTTTCAAGGCTAACTCGCACATAGCCCTGACTGTGCCAGTCATTCCAGGCACTGACTCTGGACTTGGGCCTCCTTGGCTTGGCTGTGTCCCCCAGCATGCCTGACCCTGCTATGTGCGAGACTTGTATGACATTCTCGCTCCTCAGCCCCATCGAGGGCAAGATTGCTACCTCTTTGCTTTGGCTCCTGTGCCTGTCCCACACATTGCAGCCTCATATTGTCTGCACTATGGTCAGGAGTAACCAGAGCGAAGACAGTAGCACAGGGTGGCAATGGAACTGGCCACTCAGTTCTTGTCCGTCAGAACTGTTGACCAGTTGTTGAACGAGTCATTTAAGCCTTTTGGGCTTTAGATTCTCCACCTTTAGCAGGAAGGGCCGTCAACTCGACAGCTTATAACTTTGAAATATGATGACTGCATGGTCCAGGTAATGATCTTAATGATCTTGTGTAATGTTGGAGAGCTTCTTTGTTGTTTTGTTATTGTCCTTGTTCCTGATCTTAATATAAAAATGTAGGATTTCATAAGGTTCAAAAAAATTTTTTTTCTTAAATTGGACATTTTCAAATGTTGGAGAAAGAGCTTTCCTCACTTCAAAGAACACTATGTCCTTTCATTTCTAACAAGGAGCCGAGGGTTTGCCAAAGTCCTCCTTTTCCTTACGCTCCCAGTGGGTGTTCCTGCCTCTGGAAGCCTTACAAAGAAGACAGTCCTGACAGTGGCCTTTAGAGCTGGTTAGAGCCACTTCCTTTCCTAGTGTGACAGGTGGGGATCACATGAGCTCTAGGAACCTGTGAAGAACGAAGGCCAGGAAGTTGCCTGCCTTCTGCATGAAAAGATGGAAGAACAGTGATCTTGTTTTGGTCTTTTGTTGTTGTTGTTTGGTACTGGGGATCAAACTCGGGGGCACTTAACCACTGAGCCACATCCCATCCCTTTTTTTTTTTTTTTTACTATTTATTTGGTTGTAGTTGGACACAATACTTTTACTTTATTTTTTATGTGGTGTTGAGAATCAACACATGCTAGGCGAGCATTCTACCTCTGAGCCACAACCCCAGCACCTCCCACCCCCAGCCCTTTTTTATATTTTATTTAGGGACGGAGCCTTGCTAGGTTGCTTAGGGTCTTGCCAAGTCGCTGAGGCTGGCTTTGAACTCATGTTCCTCCTGCTCTAGCCTCCCAAGCTGCTGGGTTTGTAGGCTCAATCAACTGCATCCAGCTCATCTGTTTTCTTCGTGAGCTCATGATGTGAAAACCAGGAGCTCCTGGAACCTCTTGTTAACGTAGTCTTGTGATTCTGGCATGGTTTTCTCCAACTTTTGCATTTTCATGTGCCCATTTTCAGCTCTCTGGATAAAGACCAAATCAAGGTGGTGATTGATGAGGTGACGCGATGGCTGGACCTAGCTGAGGAAGGTGACCGGATGACTCTGCCTGGTATTGCTGGTAGGCAAGAGGCTGCTCCTTCCGTACTGGGAGTGTTGGATCATGGTTACGTGACAGGAGTTGGGGGACCCATTCTCTTTCCCACAGATCCTGGTCCCAAATGCCTCTCAACTGAGTCTAATACATTTGCTTAGTAGGTGCCCAGTCCTTGGGGTCAGATAAAGCTTCAGAATTCAGAAATCAGAAAGTCGGAAAGCTTTTCAACCAACATTGAATTTCAAGGCCAAGGAAGTCAAGTTTCATTTCAGAGCCATCTTGTTCATCCTGTCCTGAGTGCTCTATATCAAAGTATATCACTTGACTATGACTTGCTGTTTTTGTACCGTTTTTTTTCCCTGGTGCCATAGCAGTGGGGGTTACACCTGCCAGCACCTCAGCACAGATTAAGGCAGGAGTCCCGCATCATGCTTTCTTCACAGCCACTTGCTCTCAGTGCAAAAAGCCGATTTGGCTTAAGAAGCTGCTTGGTGAGGAAGTGGTATGAGTGCTAACTAAGTCTCAGCCTTTGATGGGTCATCTGTATGTATCCTATGTGAACATAGCATGCAGAAAAGCACTCTGCAGCTATGCTGGTGCATAGCCGCACCCAGTGGTGGGGCAAAGGAAGAGCATTTGAAGAGCATTTGAGTGTGGGTGTTTTTTTTTTTTTTTTAAGAGCTGGATCTGTCCCCCTTGCCCGCCCCAACCCCCAAGTGAATATCATTTTCTTTCTAGAAAGATCTGACTGTTTGAACTTGGGATTTTGCATTTATTTTCCAAATGGAAAAAGTAAGCCTGACCCTTTAGGGAAAATAATGCATAGTAATAACAGTAGTTATGAAAGACATAACCAAGTTTTGAACTTGCATCTACTACCATAAGCTTGACAGCTTCCCAACACCGAGACCTTTCTGATAAGAATAGTGGTCAGATAGGCAGTTACACAGGTATCTTTTGTGGTTATTGTAAAGTAATAGTGCTAGAAAGTCCATTAACAGTGGTTTCAGATTCTTTGTGACAGCTGAGGTTTTAAGAAGTTACCACATGCCAAAATCATACTTTGTGTTATAGAACACCCAGAGTCATCTGACAAGGCTGGTAACACTTCTTCATTGTGTCAGAGACTGGGATTTTGTCACATTTCAGTGCAAAAGCAGATACGATTGCAGCCAAATATTAAAGTTTGCAAAAATGTAAAATAATATATCATGATGTTTTTTGACTTGGAAAGTAGTTCTTTTTATGAATTTTACTTTTGTTATTGTATATGGAGCTTTTTGTTTTAAAAGAAGATTCCATGTTTTTTTGATTTGAAGGTTTTAATTTCTAAAATAGTTAACATCAGTGGCTGTATCCAACAAAAACTTTGGTGTCTTCAACTTAAAATCATCTTTGAGGTCAAAAACTGTGAAAATGCTGCCCTAGAATGTCACCACAGGCCCTGCATGCTCTGTCATGTGGCTGGTGAGCTTAGGCACCTCTACGACCTGCCTTTTGCTGTGATCCACTGCTCCAATCTCTGCATTTCTTTTCTTCTTAGGGCTCTTTTTTTTTTTTTTTTTTTTAAGTTGTAGACGGACACAATACCTTTATTTATATCTGTTGCTTAGGATTGAACCCAGGGCCTCACTCATGCTAGGCAAGTGCTCTGCACTGAGCCACCACCCCAGCCCGTCGTCGTCTTGGGGCTCTTGAAGAGGAAGGGCTGTGCCACTCAGTCGTGTCTTGTGTTTGCCCCACAGGGTTCCAGGCCTTTGAGGTCCAATTGGTGCTGAGGCAGGCCCTCCCCAACATCTGGACGATGCTGAAAGATCAGGGCGTGAGTCCTCCCTTGAAATGGGCTGTCCTGAGCGGCTTCATTGCCTCTCTCACCCACCCAAATCCAGCCTCTCTAAAAGGCTTGTCCGCTGCTTTGTTATTTGTCTATTTTTCATGTCAGGTGGTGGTGAAGAAGGTGAGTCAGCAGCATCGCTGGTACCTTGAGAACGCCTCTTGTGATCGAGCCAGCTGTTGGAAGGAGCAGATTCTCCTCTCTGCGAGGGGTTTTTCTGTTTTTTTCCAGATGCTGGTGAAAGCCCAGAAGGTAGGGAAAAAAATCTCTTTTCTTGGACTTTCACAGTCTTCTGTATTTCTGGCCCTAGATGTTGAAGGATTCTTCAACAGTAAAATCTGATTTCTTAAGACGAGTCCCTTCTTCTCCTTGATAACTGGCTCCCTTGACCTAACCATTTACCAAATCGTGATGGGTTAGTGTGGGGAAAGGCTCTCCACAAGAAATCACTTTTTTTGCCTCTTCCTATAATATAGGGATTCCAGTAATCACCTAAAGTTTCTTGAAAGAGCTGTCTGCTTCACAGCAGGGAACCCTGCTTAAGTCCTTCCTTGAGTCTGTCCTGCCCCACCCTCCACTGACCTCCCCCAAGCAGTCCCACTCCCTCACATAAGACAGAGGATGAAACAGTCCCGTGACAACAATGGCAGTGGGTTCCAAAGATGCATCCTTCACAAGAATCTTAGTCTTTAGTGTCTGTCTTTATAATTTTTAAAATTTCATTTCTCTCACCTGCTGATCTACTCCAAGTAGCCCTTAGTGGGGCATAATATGATGATGGATCTGTTGCATCTCCATGAGAAGTTCTTCAGACCTCTCCCAGGTAGGGACAGACTTGTCATCTCCTTCCTGTATCTCTATTTGCCACCTGGCCTGTACTTCCCAGTGTCGACAGAGGTGCAGCAGGGTCCAGTCCTCAGATCTGTTACCATCTGCTCAGAGACGAGACCAGAGACTTCCTCAAGGGAGAAAACCCTAAATTTGCATTGGTATCCTTCCTCTATTCCTGAAGATGCTCAGGCCCATTGTGTAAGATTTGGCAAAATCAGAAATCATATTTAATCATATACATTTGGTTTTGTATTTGGAAGTATTATTTTATGTCATTAAAAACCTGCTAAACCTATTGCATGACATTTTTAATGTCATATGATGCTGTCTTGTGGCTGTATCGCCTTTCCGTGGTTGATCTGAGCATATTGAGAGAATTACAGGAGGATTAGGGGTAAAATTAACAGTGTACACTCAACAAAAACCTGAGCAAACTGTGGGACAAAGTATTCACGGCAGGGAGACAGAGTGCAGGAAAGGAAGAGGCACCGGCTGCCACGGCGCCCCAGGGTGGTGCAGGCAGGCCTGTGGGGAGCTTGTGCTATGGGGTGGGGACAGCGGGAAGCAGTGATCAGCCGCAGGTGCCCCATCACAGCACGTAGGAGTCCTGTGGAGACGGGCATGAGACCTGAGGGAGGAGGACTGAAGTGGCTGCCCTGTGGACTAGGGGATGTGGAGGCAGGAAGAGGGCTACTGGGCCCCTCGTTTGGGAGGTGTGTGTTGTGGATTTGGTTTGTTTGCACTAAACCTCTTTTAAACTACATACAGGTATAACTTTGAATTTGTCAGTTAATAGTTTTTCCCCCTTTATCAGTATACTTCTCATCAAATGACTTTTAGCTGATTTTTCTTGGATATTCTCTGAACAGTCATTTATAAATGATTTTTCTTTTATCTGCCTTTCCAAAACACCATTTCTCCCTCTCTTATCCATTGGCTAGAGCTTCTCAAACTGCATTAGAGGATATCTTGAGTTTAGTGGGGAACCTCTTGTTCTTTACACCTGTAAGTGGTGAGGGTAGCTTGAGATTAAAAAATCCTCAATCGTCAGAAATAAGGTGGTTTTCAATTTCTATTTCGTTTCATTTGCTTTACTAGTTGGCGTTGGTGGCAAGCTAGGTTAGATGGTGGTTCCTTCCCATTTTACCAACAAACTCACTCCCTTTTCACTCCCTGGATCTTTCCCCTCAGAAAGCTATGATCAGTTTAAGCAGAATATCCATGACCTGTTTCCTGTTCTCATTGATACCAAGAATGTGACAAAGGATATCTGGAAGGTATGAATGAAATTGCTTGATTAATTGTGTCCACACTAATAACACTTTTCAAAAACTTTCCTTGAACTCTTATAAAATCGGTATCCATTTCCTTTCATATTTTGTCACCTATGGTTGTTCATCATACTAGTTGTCATTTCTTTCCTTCCCCCATTCAAGCTCCCAGGTTTTGACTCATTTGTATATAATTGGGATGGTTAGAGTGGACAGTGCAATGATTTGATTCAGAGCCTGATCTATTTTTCATAAACTTTTACAACATAATCAAAGTACATGAGGGTAGAAGGGTCCCCTCTCAAAGTCTTGAGAAACCATCTTTGCTGAGTGCGAGATCATGGCTTCTCTGGGGACAGTGAGTTGAAATCACTAGGTAAGTTACAAACTGCCGCCAGCCCCTGTTAGCTTCCTGTGTGGTCTGCAATGGGCCAGGCCGTTTTGAAAGCTCCCCAGGTGACTGTCATGTAGTCTGGGTTGTTGTCCTCTACACATGGAAAAGGAAAGGGCCCAACTGTTTTAAATGCTTCTTAGAAATTGAGGACCAGAGAAAGGGGATTGGATCAATGTCTTCAAGCCTTAGGTTCCAGGTGTGGTGAAAGCTGAGGCAGGAGGATTGGAAGTTCAAGGCCAGTCTGGGCAAACTGAGTGAGACCCTACCTCAAAAACAAAAAGGCCCAGTCGTGGTGGCATATACCTTAATCCCAGTGACTTAAAAGGCTGAGGCAGGAGGATTGTAAATTTAACGCAGCCTAAGCAACTTGAGTCCCATCTCGATAACAGGTCTGTGAGTGTAATCGGTGTAAAGCCCCCCTGGGTTCAGTTTCACTTTATCAGAGGGGTGGGGGAAATCAAGCCTTAGGGTGATAGATTGAGCTATTCAAGAAAAAAGCCACAAAAATAGGAGTGGGTCCCTTGGTCCCTCTTTGTCCAGAAAGGCTCTAGTTTTTGTACTTCATGGGTTTCTAGCTTTGAACTCCTAGGACTCCGAGGCCAGGCAATCCCCATCCCTATCGTTCTAGAATGCCATGTATTCCACAAGTGTCCAGGCCTCTGTGGAGCGCCTCGGGTTCTGTATTTCTAGACCCCTACGCTCAAATGCGGAGGGAGGTGGTGTGAGGTGGTGGTGGGCAGTCGTTCCCAGCCTGGACTGTGGGAAGCCCTCTGGGGAACCCCAGGATTTGGGTCCCTGGCCCTGCCCTTGAGGAGTAAGGGCAGTTGGGATGCTGGAGGAGAAGGAAGAGGTGGTGGGCATGAGGTTCTCCAGGACACTTCAGCAGCTACTGGACAAGACCTGAAGCAGATGGACGACAGCACAGTGTTCTTTTTCTCTCTGATTTGTTCTTCACAATTGCAGGAACTGCATTTCCCACGGGTCTCCAATCTCTCAGAGGTGTACGAAGTGCTGAGCAGGTGAGGGGCACTTCTGGAGCTGGTTCTGGGGCAGGGGGCCTGTGGCTGCAGCTGCTGTGTGGCTCCAGATCCCTTGGGTCTGGTGGGTGCTCTTCCCACCCATTGCACCGCTTTCTGGAGCTGGTGTCCCCTCCAGGTCCTGCTGCCTCAGCCCATCTCTGCAGCCCTCTTGGCCCCCATTTCCAAGAATAAGGCTAAGGATGGGAAGAAAGCCTTCAGCCCCTGCCTGCCCTCGGGAGCACTTTTGTTTTGCCATCTTTGTCACATCTTTTGTTACCAGCAGACCCAAGCCCTTCCGTGTATGCCGGGCAGCCGGGGCTTGCCTCCCCGCAGTGGCCCTCTGCCCTTCTGGTTCTCTCCTCTCTGCAGCCTCCCGCTCACCTGTCCTTCCCTTTAGCCTCTCCCTCGGTTTCTCTGGTTTCTCTGGCATTAGCACTTAAAACTCAAAATCAAACAGAATCCCTTTTGTTTGGCTACTGTTGTGACCGCATGGTGCCCTCCATGCCTGTAGTGGAAAACATGGGAGGGGGCAGGAGGAGTGGGAGGGTCGTCACCTCTTCACTCTAGGAGAGTCAGTGCTGGGGGGCCGCCTGCAGCGCACCCATGTTACTCAGAGATGTGGCACCTGTTTTCTGTGCAGCGAGTCCCTTCAGTGGCCTTCACCTTCCCTCTGTCCAGTGCTGTCGGGGGTTCTCTCACGTGACGCCTTACCCTGCGCTGGCTTAGCCTACCAGGGCAGGCTCACCTCTCTTCTAAGATGGTAGAATGGTGTACGTAAGGGACAAGACGTGGCACATAGTCCTGACAGGTTTTTGCTTCATTGGGGCATTTGAGACCCTTGTCTTCTCCCTCTTCTTCTGGCTCATATCCCCTCCTGGATTCTCTTTTCTGGCTGGGGTGGGTGCATATGTGCAGGGGTGGACGGTGCATGTGGATTTTTCACCCATTCCATGAGCATTACTCAGTTCAGTTCGTGGGCTCCATTTCCTCTGGCTCAGTCCCAGGGGGGCCTCACCTACTCCCTTTCTGCAGCTGCTGCCACCTGGGTGCACTGTGGTCTGGACCTCCTCAGCCTTGAGGCACTTCATGTACCAGCTGCCTTCTTGACCTGCAGCACCTTCGATTTTGTGTTGATCTCAGTTCCTCCATCTTATCCCTGTGCCTGGGTATCTGCTGTCTTTGTAGCACCAGATATGATACTGGGAGCCTGTGTGAAGAGGTGGGACCAGAGAGGGTTTTGTTTTGTCTTCTAATACACAGGCTCTGGTTCTAGTCTTCCTTGGCTTAAATCCAGTTTAACCAGCCCTCACTGGTTTTTGCAAGTTACCTGCAGAAAATTGTTGAATCTCCCTGTGCCTTAGTTTCACCTCACAAGGTCTTTGTGAGGATTAAATGAGCTTATTCACCACAGGGACTAAGACACTGCTTTGCCCTCACTCCATGTTTCTTAAATGCTGTCCATCATTGTTGACAGTCCATCTAATCCTGTAGTGTGGGCAAGGTTGCCATGCCTGCCTTACAGACGAGGAAGTTGGGCTCAGAGACGAAGCACACAGGTTCTGAAAGACTGGTGGGATGGTTTCCTCACTGTTGGATGCTGTCGCTGCTTTCACACCCCAGAGCCGAGTGTCCCAGAGCTGGGCCACCTGTGTCTGTCAGCCAAGTCTAGTTGATGTTGCTCCATAAATCTCCTTAAAATCTCCCCTTCTTCATTCTTGGGGTCACTGCTGTTGTTCAGGCCTTTATTTTCCATTCTAATTGTGGTGGTAGCCCTCACTGGTATCCCAGCCTGTGGCCTGCCCCACTTCATTTCTCATACCGCCACTTGCGTGGTCTTTAAAATCACAGGTTGAGTTCTGTTCGTGGCTGAGTCTCTGGCACTCCCTGAGGCCCCCACGTGCCATTGAGCTCCTTCTCTGCCTGGCCCTGCCTCCACTGTGGGCCTTGGCCACGCTTTGCACAGTGTGTCCTGGTTCTGTGCCCCTGGCTCTGCCTCTTCTCTCCTGCATCACTGCCTTCCTAATGCCTCTAGGCCAAAGTGGCCCAGAGTGCACCGTCTACTCCTCGGCATTGCCTTTATGGGGGGAAAACGTGATTGTCTCTGTACTCGTCACTCAGGCCACTAGATGGCAAGCTCCAGAGGGCAGAGATGGCTCCTCTGTTTCTCTGGGCTGGGTTCAGGCTAAGCGTTTCCTGAATGCCAAGGATGATCCAGTTGGAGCCTCTAACACTGCTGATCTGTCACCTGTCCTGTTGCCTAGTTAACAAGACCTTATTTGTATATGACTAGACCTACGTTTAAGACATGTGTTGAAGACACATTTATAACTTCAGGGACTTGGGGGAACAAGAAGGAATTTTCAGCAAGTTGTTCTTTGTCCTATTTTTAATTCTCTAATAGTAACTTGAATCCCACCAAGAATTCTGGACCAGTGATTGTTCATGCGAGCAAATGTGAAAAATATGGTATGTTCCCACGAGCCCCAGCTCCTTGCATAGGAGTGCTGCAGGCAGAGCTGAGGCTTTTCCTGGACCTTGGTCTCCCAGGCTGGAGGCTGTGGAGTTCAGGGTTTCCTTCTCTGTCTTCCTGTCCTGCTCTGCATAACTCCTGCCCTCAAGATGTGTGATCCCAGAAAGCCCCAGTGATGTCTGTTTCCCCCTTGACATGGGCTCCTGGCTTTGTCCATGCGGGGAGGACCAGAGGGAAGCTGGCTTGTGAGCTGGAAGAAGGCACCCATGGTAGCTGGTGGTCGAGCATGCTGTGGTTGCTGTGGACATGAGGGTGGTGGGGGTGGAGAGACTTCTTTCCCAAGTGCATTGCTAATGGTTTACTTGATCTCTCTCCTTATTATGGAAAAATGCTTCAGCCCAGAACAAGTGCCCCCATGAAGCAGCATACGATGCCTTTCTTTGTGGGTCAGGTAAGAGTTGCCGTCCTTCCAGAGGAGACTGGCCTTGGTGGGTGCACTCTCTAGGTTCTCGTTTATATCATGCTGGGTTGCATAGAAAGTGTGAGTTTGCATATTTCAAGAAGGCCTGTGACATCTCTAGTGGGTTTTTTTTTTCTTTTTTCCAGTTCTTCTGAAAGTGGCTCACCTGCTCCTTCAGAGGGTGCACAGGTGAGTGTTCTTTCCCTCCAGTCACTCAGCAGTCAGGAAACCAAGACGTCCCAGGGCCCCCAAAGAGGAAGAATACTGCAGCCCTGGGAGAGTAGACATCCAGCCTCTGCCTGTGTGGCAGCCAACACAGTGGCCTTGCTTCACAGAAACCCTTTCCTGCCACCCCTGCCTCCTGCCTGGGTAGGGCTGGTCCTGCCCCCCTCTTGGCACTGGGAGAAGTAATGTCCGGGGATCAAGGGTTTGACTTGGGTTCTGTTGTCTGCTTCAGTGCTTCCCAGCTTGGTGTGTTTGCTGTTACCCCATGAAACTCCAAATTGGAATTTTGAACGTGTTTCCTGTGACAGCAGCATCCCCCATGCCTCCAGCACTGGGCACAACAGGGGCACCAAGTGCATGCTGTACATGGGCCTTCCGTAGAGCCAGGCTGGGGACCCTTGCTTTAGGACTTGCAGGCCCAGCGAAGGAGCTAATCAGACTCTGGCCTGCTCCTCAGGACTGACCTAGCAAGGCACCTTTGATCTGTGCTCTGTGAACTACCTATACTTGTCCATTTTTGGCAAAGGATGTGATAAATACAAATGTTCTATGTCATGTTGATGTGAGTTTTATAACTTAAATGAGAAATCTACCAGTCTGGAGTCTCGTAATGCATCAGAGAATTTTTTCTGAAAATTTTTTTTTTCTTTTTCTAAAAATTAGAAAGGCCCTCCTCCTCCCCACCTCCAGGGGGGAAAAATTCCACCAGCCCACCTTCCTCCTTCCTGTAGTTTGGCAATGTCTGAGTGCCCAAGTGCCCACTGGCAGATGGTGTGTGCTGGGCAGGAAGAAGCTTCCAGCAGAAGGGCGGGCACCTTTCAATTCAGCTGAAAGCTCTATCTAGAGAAGCCTCTGGCTGTCCAGGCCTGCCTGGTTCCCAACCAGTGCTCCCCCAGGGCCTGCACACAAGGGCTGGTCCCTGGAAGGGTGGGGCTGATGGTCCAGTAAAGTCAGGCGAGGGATGGCCATTTGGGGTCAAGTGGTGTCGTGCTGGGGAATGATGAAGTGGAGCCCCCTCACAGGCTTCTCACTCTCTGAGCCTGCCTCCAGTGCTGGTCAGGGAGCGTCACAAAACTGTCAGAGGGTGACCCTCCAGAAGCTCCGCTCTTTCTGGAGAGGGCTCTTTGAAATCAGCCAGTTGAGAAGCCCACTGACATGGGCACGAGACTTGGGGGTGGAGAATTGCCCAAGGCAGCCGTTTCCCTGTGTCGCCAGATCCTTGGCTATGGCGAGGACAGTGGATAAGTGCATGCCTGAGCGCTTTGGCTTCTCTGTCCGTGCAGCAGCGGACCCATGCCTGAGCCATCCTTCCCTCAGTACCTCGACGTGCTGGCTCCTTACGTGAACCAAGTCAATCTTATCCGAGCTGGGGTCCCTAAAATCGTGAGTAGGTTTCATTTTGCTCCCTTACCTTGCTCAGAGACTCCCTGTGGAGGTGGCCTGGTGTCGCTGGGCTGAAGGAGTACGAGAGCTGGACAGGGCATTTACACCCCTGTGAAGCTGCTTGTTTCTTGTGTTTTTCTGCCCAAACCCACACGTTCTCGCTCCACCCATCCTTCTCTTTGCCTGCTCCCAGCCCCAAACAGTCTTTCCTAGTCCCTTCAAACATTATCTAATTGCATAAGATGTCAGCAAAAATTGTGGGAAATCTTTTGTTCTTCATGTTTCTTAGAATTTTTCTGGCCCAGATTATCCCAGTATCCGGCCTCCCATCCTCATCCTCACTGTTAGGAGGTGGCCCGGGGCCAGCGAGCAGCAAGTCTACCGAGAGTTCCAGAATCTCTGCAAGTTCGATGTCAGGCGACTCACTCGAAGCCAGTTCCTGCTCCTGACCAATAAGTTTAAGGAGTAGGTGCCCGGGCCCCAAGTCCCTCCTCTCTCCCCATGTCATCCTTTTTGCCTCCCCCTGCTTCAGGCCTAAGAGCAGTCCCTGTGGCCATACAGTGTGGCTGACCTTGGCAAATTTCTTTTGGCAGTGCCCGCAGTATCCTGAAGGAGTACAGGTGCCACCCAACCCTGCAGGTCTCCCTATACCGGTATTGGAGACATTCCCCCAACATCAACTGCGTGTTACAGTAAGTGGCAGGCTGGAGGCTGCTCTTCCGCCTGTAGCCCCATTGGTTCTGACTCAGCCCAGCTCGCTCACTGGTGAGGGCCGTTAGGGAGTTGCTGACAAGTGCAGTGAACTGTGGGTCACTTGGTGTTCTACAGGTACTGGAGCATCTGCAGTGTTGGGCACTGTTGGTCCTAGGGCTTCGTGAGTGGGTAAAACAAAAGTTCTGCTCTCGCAGAGCTCCGTACTAAAGGGCAGTGATCAGTGAGTGTACTAACCAGGGGACCTTATGATGTGTCAGTTGGCAAGTGCTTATTAAAAATGAGAGAAGAGAGGGTCTGGCAGGTCTGAGGGGGTCCTGTTCAAAGGAGGTGATGGAGGATGGGTCGTGTTAAAAACTCAAGGATGTCAGGGTGAGCCGGGGGGGTGCTCAGGACAGTGCAGGGCAGGGTCCTTGAGTTGGGGAGGCACCTCACCGAGGGCCGATGAGGCCACTGTGAGCCGACGTAGGCAAACGAGAATGGACGAGGCAAGGAGGAACTGGGTCCTGTCTGAGTGGGCATAGTAAGGGCCACTTGGAGGAATTGAGGATCACTTGGGTTTGGGCAGAGGAAGGGCACCATCCAACTGTCTTCTCTGCTGAGGTAGGCTAGAGAGGAGGTGGAGGGCAGGGGCACCAGGAGGCCAGTGTGTCTGTGGTATGGCCCAGCCTGGTGGTAGTGGGGACAGAGAAGGAGCCAGTGGCAGAACCAAGAAGAGCTGTGTGCACTGTTGTGAGGCAGGTTTCTCAGAAAACACATCAAGTCCCAGTTTTGTCCAGATTGAAGAGTATTTAGCCGGCCGGCCGGTGACTGCCCCCCACAGGAGGAGTTATAACTGTCTCTGCAAGGAACAGCCCCAAGACTGAGCATTTTAGGATATTTAAAGGCAAAAATCACATCCAGGTTGACATAACTGCAAGCAAGCAGGTACAGAAGCTGAATTGGGCAGTTAGCGAGACAATGCAATGGGTACATTGGTAATGCTCATGGGACTTTTCAGGTTGGTATAGCAGCAGGCAAGCAGAAGTGAAGGAGATCAAAATGACCCTATTTCAGTACACATTAGAGAATGGTTACTAATGTTTAGACAATCAATCTCTGTAGATTGCCCAGGAAAAATGGAAACCAAAGAGAATAATTTGACATTGTATAAGAATTGCTATTTTGTGTTGTCAAGTATGTTATGCTAGGTAATGGGTACAGAGGTGGGGCCTTCCCATGGCAGAAGCATTTCTTACATGACGTGGAGTCTCAGGGTAAAATGGAGTCTGTTTGGTTATTGCCCATATAACCTGGACCATAACACGCACAGTCAAGGCTCGCCTTGAGTAACTCGAGAGACAGTCTTGCAGTTACTGAAGTTTTACGAGGGTTCTGGTGTGCTATATAGGAGCTGGATCTGTAGTGGACAGCACTGCAGAAGAGAAATGGTAGCCTCCCAAACAGCTCTTTGTCCTCCTGCCAACCTCTGATCTAAATCACTAGGGAAGGTGAACTGTTTGTATCCCAGAGCCATGGACCCTGAGAGATAAGCAAGCAGCTCAGTGTTGGCACCAGGAAGAAAGGAAGGACGTCTGGGGTTGGCGGGAAGAAGGGGGAGTCTGCCTGCTACTTTGAGACCTGCCAGTGTCACAGAAAAATCAGGTTTCTGACCCACGTCCTTGTCTTACAGAGTCTGTGGAGTGGTCACTACCTGGGCTCTGCTGGCGTTTCTCCTGGGAAGATCCAGATCCTGAGTGCTGCAAGCCTCTTGGCCTGTGTTCTGTTGCCAGGCCTTCCTGGGGCGTGTGTGCGTGTGTGTGCGTGTTAATATGTGTAAATCATATTCTCTTTGCAGGTGGATTGTATTGTCCTTACTAGAAATTTTGTTATGTTTTGAATGTGAAATTCTGTAAATACTGTAGTGATAAATGTGCTATATGCAAAGATTTCTTTGTGGCAAAAGCTGTCCTTCCTTTCTGGAAATGACTGGGAGCGGTCACAGCTGCTGGGGATTTAAGCCGGCACCCTGGGCTGTCTAGAGCAGACATGACAGCTGCACACCAGGTGAACCAGGCTGATTTCCCTGGGAGAAAAATTAATGGCCAATAGGTTGCTGGAAGAATAGCTTAATCACAAAAGAAAAAAAAGCTTAATCACAAAGGGGGAAAAATAAGCTTGGCAGGGTCAATGTCATGTGCTGGTGACACTTTGGATCAACTTTTTAAATCATTAAGATACTCATTTTGGAGACAAGATTACCCCCAGCCCTGGAGCGCACCTTGGGTCGTTCAGTCTGACCGATGCTTTTCTCTGTGGTGCTCCCTGCCCACCAGCTCCCAGTTGCTTCCCCCAGAGTGGGGTTCTGCTCAGCCTTGAACTTCAATTCAGCAAAGCCGCCTTCAACTCTAGATGTTTTTTCTAGAAAAAATAAAGCGTGCATGTAGCCAGGAGCTTGAACTTTTCCAGCATCCCTGTCCTGAGGGGTGGGAGACACGATTTCATGGCAGCTTATGATCAAATGACACCAGTTGTGCCCGCAGGGGCAATTTTACTCCTCAGCCCAGTGTCCGAGTGGGAGGCCCAGGATTTTTAAATTTTAATTGAATATTTTTGTTTACCTGAGGAGAGTTCCCCTTTTCTGTGGCCTTTGGAGGCCTGGTGCATCTTGGGTAGTCCACGAACAGCCAGCAGGGTGCAGTCCATCCACAGTGGCCCTTAATGACCAGGAGACCCAGTGTTATGCCTACTGTTCCCTGTAGGAAAGGCCGGAGGGAGTGGGGAGGGCCCCGAACAGTGTGGCGGGTTTGCAGGTGAAGTTCACTTTGATGTCTGTGATCTGAGCCTCCCACAGAAATGGCAGTGTCCCGAGCTGCCTACTGTCCTACTGGGGCAGAGCTTGCTGAGCTGCCACCAACCTTGCTGCTCTCTGCTCTGACACCTGCAGCTCTTCATGTCTGTTTTACCATCAGCTGTCCACTAAAACCCACAGACCTGGGAAACCAGGTGCCCTGCCCTTCCCTTAGCTCTGTCTGCCTGTGGCCCTTCTTCCCTTTCAGGATGAGTGGGCTCTGTCGCCCTGCCCACCAGCAGCCCTGTGAGGACTTAGGTGCTCCGGGGCCCAGGCCAGCCGGCACCAGCACCTTGCGTCTGCTGATGCTCTTCCCTGAGCCTCAGGGTCATTCTTCTCTCAGATGCCCTCGGTCCTTCAGCGTACGGTGTTGGAGGACTTGGCACCATGGGTTCTGTGCCAGCATGACTCTGAAGCTTCTTATCCAGCTGGCATCTCTCCTGGCTGCAGGTCACCTGCTGAGCCTTCCTAGAGTGTCCCACAGACATGCCAGACTCCGCCCAGCAGAAGTCCATGCCGCCTTCTCTGATGAAGCCCCAGCTCCTCCCGGTTCCCTGCCCTGCTCTGCTGGTGGTCTGCCCTGGCCCTCTCCACCCAGGCTCGCTCTGCTAGCAGCTGCTGGCTGTGTCTGCACCCTTCACAAGGCCAGGAGAGCCAGTACCTTGGCTGTGACAGTCCTGCTGCCTGTTCCTCCCCTCTCTACCATGACCTTCAGGCACAGGCGAGGGGGAAGGCAGACATGGCCATCTCCTGCCCACAGTCCTGTGGATTCTGTACCAAATCCTTGAGCCCTAAACCTCTAGGACTGGGACCCTGCTGTTTGCTGCTTCTGTGGGCATCTGTCTCTTCCTTGGGTTCACAGTTTCTCTTCTATCTCCCTGGGGCACTCACTCCCTTGAGTCTCAGATCAGTTAATGACTCATTATGATACCCAGCTAGGCTGGTGTCCAGGGTCCAGCCTGCTTCTGGGCACCTCACGCCTGCCCCTGCTGAGACACTTGGTACTTTGTGCCCTGGTTGGGCCTGCATGGGTGAGTACTTCAGACTGTGGAACCTGCAGGGGTGTCAGTGTCTTCAGGAAGGGGCCTGAGCTTAGATGTTGCTGGAACCTCTGGGCCATGTGTGTAGTGTTTTTTGGGGTTATTATTTTTTTGGTACCAGGGATTGAACTTGGGGGCATCTGACCACTAAGCCACATCCCCAGCTCAATTTTGTATTTTATTTAGAAATAGGGTCTCGCTGAGTTGCTTGGCACCTCGTCATTGCTGAGGCTGGCTTTGCGCTCACAATCCCTTGTGTCAGCCTCCCGAGTCGCTGGTATTACAGGTGTGCCTGGCTGATTTTCTTTTGACATAGGGTCTCATTAAATGCCCAGGCTGGCCTCAAACTTGCAATACTCTTGCCTTAGTCTTCTGAGTAGTTGGGATTATAGGTGTGCATCACCATGACCAACTGGGCTGTTTTTATTTTTTTGGTGCTGCTCATCTGTCTTCCACAGCTATTATAAATACCTATAAAATCACACAGAAAAGGGGTTTCAGCCTGTTGCTTTTGCTGAGGTAGCCATCCCAGTGTAGAGAGTAGCAGAGCTTGGTGAGAAGACACAGCCAGGAGGGGACTGGAGACCTACAGCCCCCCATGAAGAGGCACTCCCAGGGGCCTGGGATGTCCCCCTAGGCGGCACCTCCTAAATTTCCACTGTCTCCCAATAGCGCCCCTTCATCATCAAAACTTTCACACACAGGTCTTTGGGGGGACATCTCAGACCCAAACTAGAGCATCAGGGAATGAGCTGTAAAGATGGCCCAGTCTCATTATTTTGTTCTATCTGCCAAAGGGAAAAGGGATGAATGGGTCCCCCAAGCCTACCCAGCCCAGGCTGTTCTTACTGGTCCGTGGGTCCGGCTGCTGTATAAGTGACGTGACTCCACATCATTTTAAGTTTTGAAACTTGGTTCTTTGTAGTTTAACATGTTAGTATGAGATTGTGACTCGAAATAGCAGTCTTCATCTTAATGTTAACTAACCTTTCTCTTTACATCCTTCAAGTACCTCTTTGGTTGCTGTAACAAAAAACCACAGACTGGGTGCAGGGCTTCAGCAACAGACATGTATATATTTCTCCTAGTTCTGGAGGTTGGGGAGTCAGATCAGGATGGCAGCAAAAATTTTAAAAAGGCACTAAACGAAAACACCCACCCAGGCTACTTGTGGGAGGCTGAGACCATGGCCTCTAGTCTGAGGTTGCGTGAGGTGGCAGCACTTAACGTGCCCTGGCTGATGTTTCCACAGTTCCTGTACCAGCTGGTGACTGCCACCTTCAGAGTGTGTGCAGGATGAGTTTGGTGGCTGCAGGGTGGCCGCAGAGTGGAGTCGGCCTCCTGGGGGCTGCCGGTGCCTTACACCTTCCCTCCTACCAGGTCCCTGTGACTGCCTCATGGAGGTGCTACTCTGTCACCTTGTACTGTATTTGCCATGCTTCTTCTATTTATGAAGCCATTTTTGTCCCTAGTTACACGTGTCGTCTTTGCGGTGTAAGCTCCTTTGGGATGCAGACAGTCTCCTGTCCCTCCAGGCTGGTGGCATGGTTCAAGGCTGAAGCTAGGCAGTCTCTGCCCTCCACCTAGAGGGAAAGCTGAGTAACTGTGACAGTAGGTTGGCAGGTCCCGGCTGGAGGAGGGCTGATGCCTACATAGCAAGGGCCCCTACAGAGTGATGCCCCAAGTGGCAGGGAGGACGCTCTTGTCCCTTATAAGCAATAACCTGTGGTCGTGTCCGGCAATCGCTGCCCGCTAGACTCAGCTGTCCATGCACTGCAGCTAAATAGTTCATTTGCTTCTCCCTGGACCTTGGAGGGGAGCACTGGCTCTTCCAGCCCTGTGGAGTAGAGGCTCTGAGACCAGAGCAGGAGCTGCCTCCACCAGGGTGGGCAGCTCTTCCTTCCCACGCTGCCTGCAGGGGTCAGGAGCCATTGGATATCCTTAATGGTTTGTTTTTCTTTTTCAAATATCAGAGCTGTCAACCATTTTGCTAATCACAATAAAATTACCCTGATGTAATTTTAAACAGGTTAAGAAAACAGGACATGTGACAAACATCTGAAGGTCAGGGCTAAGCTGTGCGTGGTGCTGCATAAAGGTAATTCCACTACACGGGCAGGCGACTGAGGCAGGAGTAGTACAAGGCTAGCCTGGGCAACTTAGCGAGACCTTGTCTTAAAAAGTAAAAATTAAATAAAAATAGAGTGGGGCTGGGGTTGTGGGTCAGCCATAGAATGCTCGCCTAGCATGTGTGGGACACTCGGTTTGATCCTCAGTACCACCTAAAAATAATAAAATAAAGGTATGTGTCCAACTACAACTGAAAAATAATGACAGCTCTTGCCCTTTTGTGGGATCTCAGCACACGCCCCCTGGTGGTGGTTGGTCCTCTGGGCTCCCTGGGCACCTCATTTCTCCCAGTTCTGGAAGAGAGCCCCTGGTGTCCCCATGTCAGAAGTGTGGCTCTCGTGTCCCAGTGTCATCGAGACTCATTCATTCTGCTGCTGTCCCTCTCTGCCGTCATTGTGTTGTCTCATGTCCCAGCTGTCAAATTGCTGTCATATTGAGACCCAGTTCTGGAAACCTCAGCTGGTGCCAAGTGCTCCCCCACTGGCTCCCAGCGTGGAGAGAGAACTGCTTTCGACCGGTTCTCTGTGGGAGCAGAGCCACACAGGGTCCTCCAATGTCTGTTTTTATGGCCAAAGAGAGCTTGGGTGATGATTTTTATGGGTCTTGACACTTAGTGAAACAGCTTGGACTGTTGTGTGTTGGACTCCAGGGGATGGTGGTGCTTTGTGGGGAAGACCTAATAGACAACCCATCACTGAAGTTACCTCTAGGCCCTTTCTATTCCTCATGACCACACTTGTGGGGGCAAGCGGGGTGCATGCATTCCGAGCAGAGTTACCTTCAAAAAACTAATAACATGCATTAAAATGTTATCTCGTGGGAAGATTCTTAATTTATTTCTCAGGCTTCTCTGTAGGCCACAAGTTTTCACAGTATAAGCTTTTATCCCTTCAAAATCAGAAATGGCCTATTTTAAAATATCAGTATA